TTGTGTGTGTAACCCTAATGAACTATCTGCCTCAAGGCTAGCTCGGCTTTGTTATGTTAAAGACAACATCAAATGCGAAAGGCAACAAATTCAATTAGGCAACGACGTCATCGGCTGTGCCTCGAGGCAACAGCTTCCTGCAGCAAGGACTTCCCAAAGTTTCCCACATACTTGGCCCCTATCACAGAGGGCTAGAGTACTGAGAGAACACACACAACGCTCTGTCGTCCTGGTGGTCCAGCTTTTGATTGTAATAATCCATGACAGGCCCATGTAAAAAAAGTTGTCCCCTCTGATCGCATAACACTTGTTAGCCTGTCAATATTCCAAAATTCTGGCGAATCCCCTACAAAGGATCTTTGAAAATAATAAAATAATATGCGGGCAATTGCAACTTTCTTGAGGTTAAACGCAAGTTGCTCTTCAAATCTCTCTCTTGAGTTTTGCCATTGTTCAGTGAACTCAATATTTTTCTCACCTCCAGGAGGTCCACTCATCAGTTGCCCTCGTTTGCCACACTGTGCCCCTCACGCCGCTGCACGCAGATTGCAACAATAAAAAATAAGATTTAAGTAGACTTAGACTCTGGGCATCAAGTACTTAAGACGCTGGGATGGGACAATGTGGGACAAGTACTTTCAATTAGCAGACGCTTCACTGATTTTAATTGTCAACTAGTCTATGGGAATCTCTGATCTCTCTAGCCCTGTCTCTCAATCTGTGCAGCTGCTTTTTTATTTTTCTTATTTAATGCAGACATAGTAAAATTGATATATACAAAAAAGTAAAGAATAATATAATTCTGAACTAAAGAAGTCCCCAAACTGTAATATTATATTTTTTATGTGATTAAATTTAAATTTACAATGAGAATAATAAAAATATTGTAAATCTGTGAGTAAAATTGTTATTGAAAGCATTAAGGAAATTCAGTAAATAAACCCAATCAGAGAATGATTAAACTAGTTTGCCTAATGAGCATCATTAGATATGGCAAAATGTCAAATTATTGAGCTAAGCACTAAAGAACAATGCGTTTAACATTTTCCGCCTGGCAAATCAAATTTTCCACAGAAAAACCTGGCCATTTGCCCACTAAAGTAAGTTAAGCTGACCAAGGCCGAGCAGGCAGGCAGCAGGCTTAGTTTATCTAGTCCTGTAAGCCACATAACAATTAGAATACTTACAGAAGAGTGCAGATGGACGTTGTCTCTGTCTCTGTCTCTGTCTCTTTTCAGTCGCTTATCTGTGGCGGCAGATATAGAAAATTGATCTGGCGATAAATCGAGCTACTCAATTTACAAAAACAACGCCGCTCGGCTTCGCTTTGACTTTCGCTCGGGCGTTCTTCTCGGTTAAACGAGAGTCCTGTGTGTCCTCTGTGTCCTGTCCTGACTTCAGGTACAACAATGCGGCAAACGGAAGCCGGATTTGCAGCTTGCGGCTTCTACTACTGCTGCTGCTGCTGCGGATCAAACGGATGTTTAATATTTTGGCTTAGAGACATTCACATTATATTTGAAAACAATGGCCAAGAAGCAGTGGTCCACAAACTCGACGTGCCGAGTAGACCGCCCGGTCAGGATTTGGGCATTTAGCAAAAGGGTAATCCAGCCCATTAAAATCTATTTGCATACGCATATTTTTTTGTTTTATTTAGGTAATTCGCTAACCAAGCACAACGCAGACTACGACCTGTCTCCGTCTACTTTAAGCCATGTTGCAAACCTGCTATGTAAAATTGTCCACACCTGCCCAAGGTCTAAACACAATCTGCAACTGCAACTGCAACCGCTTGCTTGAAATTGCGTTAATCGTCCTGCGCCCTTCATTGAGGACGCGGATTACTTAATCAACGAAAATCTATGAAAATCTATGAATTAAAAGTGTTACCGAAAATCCAAGCCAGCTTCTGGCCACAGTTCCAGCTAACAGCAGGCAAATTGAGGCCACTTGAGCTGATATAGAGTTTGTGGCTTAAACCACCCACCCAACCCACAAACCCACCTTCAGCTCAGCCGTGAGCTGATTTAAAGCAGTTCAAGTGGCTTGGCCTGATCCACAAAAGCTTGCACGGGCACAAGTTAGTCTGTTGCTTTGACAAGGCACAGTTTTCGACTCGTTCCACAAATCAAAAAGTGAGAAATCTATTTTTTATTTATTTTTTTTTATTGCAAATGCGAAAAAAGGGAAAACTACAAATTAAGACCTAAACAATGGCAAAGCCAACAATGTGCAGAAAAACGTCACTGATGACAGAATGATGAGGATTAAACCAACAACAACCACAATTGCATAGACACACACACACACACACGCACTCGCACACACACACTGGCACACACAGAGAGCATCAGCGTCGCGGGCCATTAGGACTTAAAAGGGCTCAACAACTCAGCAAGCAGCAGCCGAACGCTTTGTGCCCTCAGAGACAACAAAATTTGTGCCGGATTCAACAGCAACAACAACAAGAGTAACAACAACAGCAGCAGCATCCAAGCCGAGTTGAGTCGAGTCGAGTCCTGGACCTTGCCAAAGTCGAAATGGCAGCGGCAACGAAGCATATTTAATTCTAAATCCCCGCAAGCATTGAGCCCAATGGGTGCTACGGTGTTAGGGTAGGTTTTCGGCACCATGCTCCGGGCCATGTATGTGTGTCAGTGGCATAAATGCATATACATATCTCTATATATATATGTATATATCTATATACACTTAGAAAAAAAATCGCAATGAATTTGAGATATTCACCGTACTTTTGGCGCCATTCAGAAAGTATATTTCTTAAATGCACAGTTTTTCCTTTCTTAACTTCATGGCACAGTTTAATAAAGTATGTCCGATTTTTAATGTGTTTTTTATATCTGAACAGAAAACTCCTTCTGTTGCTTATTTTATTATTTAATATTAGCATTTTATGATATCACATTTACAAACATTTCAGAAAGTTTATAAGCTTATATAATTTCATTTTGAATAATTTAACAGCTAAACATTATTTATTTCTGCATTTTAGAAAGGATTTTATAGAAATATATTTCTTAATAAATATGAATAAATATTTAAAAAAAATATAAATAAAAAATCATATTTTTGTGGTTGTCAATTTAGGGCAAGCTTTTCCAATTTGTCAATTTTTTCGTTTTTTCTTTGTTCTCCTCAGTTTTCAAGGTGATTTTCATTTTAGAACGTTTTTTTTTAATTCAGATGTATTTTTTCTAAGTGTAGATGTATCTATATGCACTCAACGTTTCTATTTACTTTGGCCAACGCAATTTCAACAATTTTGCCGACAATTGGCAACTGTTTTTATTCGAACTCACCTTGTTTGTTCAGCCTTGCCAAAAGGATACTACAACTACAACTTCAGCTTCCATTTGCTATTGTGATGGAAAGGATTCAATTGTTATTGTCTGTCAGGGCACAGGACGTAGGACGCAGTTGCTACTCTACAACGATTCAACGATCCAACGCCGCTCGTCAAAGTCATCTAAAAGTGAATTTTTGCTTTTTAACTTTTTGAATTCTGTTGTGAGTCACATTGGCACCCGGAAGGGAGACGACACTGAGTCAACTGCATCCGGAGTCTTCTATGGGAACCGCCATTTTGTACCCAATTTTCCGTTGGACAACTGCCATTTCAAATTAATCCCGACTTTGGTTTGCTGAGGTGGAAATACTATGCTAATTTTAATTTGTTTGATTTCAATGCCAAATGAATTAGATTCTTTTGTTCGAAGGATTTACATAATGCATTTTGGACTAGCTGGGCGTCCACTGCAATTGTTCCTCAGATCTGTTTGCTAGATCCAAAATAGATCGCACATGAGATTAAATGGTTTTTAATTTGAAATATATAAATATGATTTAATTAGAATTATTAAGACATCATATCAGATTATTACATATTATTACAAAGAGAGATGCAGGTCTATTTAAAAACCTTTTTTTTTGTTTTTATCAAACATTCGACGAACTATTTTTATCTGATAGCTTTTAAATATTTGAATGATCTCAATGAATCTATGAAAATATTCATAGAAGTAGTTGTTTTTTTATTCGATTACAAAAATGTATACTTAAATATCATCTATGAACATGAAGACGGAAAAAATTAACATTAACCTTATGTCATAATCAAATAACATAAATGGAGCAATATTTGCTTATAAAAACAAAAGGGCTTTAAAAATAAATAATATAAAAAAATATTGTTAGTTATATAGTCCGGCATAAGAGCCTAAATAATGCGTATTTGATACAATCGCAGTTAGTAGACGAAAAGCAGTCACAAATTCCTAGATACAGGATATTAAAAGTTTGTAATGTTAACAATGCCTGTTAACTTGTTATTCAAAAGGAACACTCTACGAGCTCAAGCTGCTATTGCTCTTTAGAAAGACGCATTTATACTTTAACTTACCTTCAAAAATAAACTAGCCACATCTCATTTGGGCACTCTCAAAATAAGTTTTATGTGATTGATGGAACATTTTGTACAAATTGACACAAAATCCAAATTACCCAAAAAGTTAATATTCCCATTGAATAAATAATGCAGACAGTTTTATATTATTAAGCTTTAGCTATATGTTTATTTGAGTATGTTTCTTGCGTAGGGTTTTTATGCTAATTTCATTAAACATTTCTGATATGCGAAACTTAGAAGTAATTCATTTATGAACTATGCAACTTAGAGCTAAACACAATAAAGAAAAAGTTTCAACTTTTCTTTTCTGAATGCAATTTGAATCACGTTGTGGATAAATGAAACGTATTACGAATACACTATATATATGATTTAAGGCTCAACTCCGAGAGATTTGTGGTTTGTAAGCTTTCACTGTTGAATATTGTCCAATGAATAATGTCAAAAAATAACTCCAACTCCAATTTCAGATGATATCACAGTTTCCAGCACTACGAAGGCACTTCAAGTGCACAACTTTATTTTCGCCGACGGCAAATCGATTCCCATTTTTTTTTTGGGTATGTTTTTCTCAAATCTTACGCTGACTGTACATGTCGGAAATGAGACGGACAATGGTTATGTCACCGATGGTCTTGCGGAAGAACAGCTCCTCGATGGTGAAGCTGGACACTTTGTGCATCAGCGAAACGACGCCGAGCAGCGTTTGGAAACGCAACGGTTGATTTGGATGCGTTCTCGAAATATAATTGTGCAATGCATTTCTCGCATCATTATGCATGCCAGCCACCTTGCTGGACTCCAGGAGACCCCTCGACTCTGCTGATGCACTCGAGTTCGGACTGCCACTGCCGGTTAAAATGGAGCTATTCGCCAGATCCTCAGTGGAACTGGCCGCCGGTGGAGATTTGCGGAAGAGTGAAATGGCACGCAAGCACTCGTATTCCGTCGTGTCGATATTCAAGTGGCACAACTGATTGAGGACATCCTGGAAAGCGTGCACCTCACGGCTGACAATGGCAACAATCTCACGGTTGGCATTCTCCGCCTCATAGACGAATAGCAGCTGGGCAAAGTTCATGGGCATCAAATACTGGGACATGGCCAGTATGAAGAACTCTTTCCACGACTCCTCCAACAGCAGCAGTTGATCGGGCATGGGTAACTCGGTGAAGGCACGCACACTCTTAATCCAATTCACGTTCTTGAAGAGATGCTCCGCTGCCGTCTCTTTGATATGCTCCGCAGCCATTAGCGGTGGTGTGGGTGGCAGGGCACGTGTGGCCAGGGCATTCATGTAGGCGGCGCTGGGCAAGAAGAAACCATGATGGCCATGATGGGGCACACGTGGCACCGACAAATCCAAGACGGCGGCAGCAGACGGCGCTCCCGGAAAACCGGGCAGTTGCGGATGATGAGGACCACGTTGATGACCCGGCATGGGCATTGGCAGGCCGGGAAAACCATTCAAAGCCGCCGTACCCATGAGCAGCTCTGGCGGTATCTGTGGCAACTCAGCGCCCAGCATGGCATCCTTGTACATGGCCATGTGTCGACGCAGCGTCGAGTTGCGTGGTCCACGCTCATGCTGCACTGCATCCTTGTTCATGCCCACCTCAAAGCACTTGCGCAATCGACACGCCCGACACTGATTCCGATGTGTCTTGTCCACGACGCAAAGTCCCTGTTTCTGGGATTTGCACACATATTGGCGAGATCGGCGAATGCTGCGCTTGAAGAAACCCGCACAGCCATCGCAGGCATAGATGCCGTAATGCTTGCCGGAACTGTGATCCCGGCACACCTTGCACGGCACATGGTACAGTATACGACCTGGAAGCACAGCAAGAAAAACAGATATTGTTAGTTTTTGTCGGGGAATTTAGATAGATGCTAAAGCTATTTTTGGCCAAATTTAATTGAAAATAAAAAATCAATTGACTTTATTGAATTTAATTAATTTAAATTTAAGAATTGATTTTTATTGAGAAAATCATATTGAATTCACAAATAAAATAACTTACTTGATGCCGCTGGCGACAGTCGGACGCTGTTGTATTTTTGATCCATCATATCTGGCGAACCCTCCGACGACTGCATACCGATGTGTGGCGTAATTTTGGCGATTTAATAGGCACAATTAATAAAACACACACAAAAACACTTTGCTTTCGCAGTTTGCGTAATTTTCCAAATCACGAAATTTGCTTTCTATTTCAGTTTTTGATAAATGATATATATATGAGATTTTTGCTTTAGTTTAGAGCACTACACGACGTCGTTGTCGAGGACGAGAACGAGGACGAAGACGAACACGAGCGAAGTGGACTCGTTGAGATCACGGATGATTGTGTTGTCTGCTCACCACCCAGCTCCTGTTTTAATAGTCCATCCGTTGTGCCATTCAGTCGATCACCCCCAGGTAGACAAGCCGGGCGCGTTTATTGGTTCGTTGCTGCCACAGACAGGGTTGCACAGCTATTGCCCACTCACTCGCACACACACACACACACAGAGAGTCTAACGAGAGTGATTTTTTCTTTCCTTTTCTCTGATCCTGCAGGCAGCGGCTGCCATTGCGAAAATTCATTCAGCAGCCGTCATTCTCAACTTTTGGCCTCTGAGCGAGCAGCTCTTTTATGGTCTTTTTCCGTTGAAAGAGCGACTACCTGCGCTCTCTCTCGCTCTCTCACATTCTCTCTCTCAGAGAGAGAGAGAGAGAGAGAGCGAGAGAGAGAACTCCTGACAGTTGGCTGGTTGCTTTTATGGCGCTTTGTGATTTGTGTGAAGTACCTGTGGCTACATTTTGTCTTTTGTCTCTGAGCACTCTGAGCACTACCGAGCAAAGGGTGGTTCTTGCTACCAGGGTTGATTTTATAGTAATTGTTTTTTGTTTTTTTTTTTCTTTCATTCATCTCTCTCTCGGTTGTGCGGCAAATGAACTTTTATGATGCAATTGTGCTTAGAGACTCGATTCGATTGATTGAAGAACAATATCAAAAGCACTTTGTGGTAACTGCAACACCCGCTACCTCATACACCCTCGCCCAACCCTCGTCCACCCCTGGCTAAGCCAGCTTAGCGCATGCCTTTTGCTGAGCACAGCTCAAATTAAATTCAAGTGGCATTCAATTTTAATCGCTGCGCACGCTTAACTAAGGCAGGAGCCTAATCGTGTGCTGCTTAAGCAGATTAGACCAGGTCCCAGGTTCCAGGTTCCAAGATCATCCAAGGGCAAATAATTTAAAGCAAGCTTTCCGCAGAGGCAAAAACGCAACAAAAGAGATTTACAAAATTCATGCGAAAAATATTGTACTTAGTAATGTTAAGCAAGGTCCCGTAAGTCTGGTGCGATTTAAACTCAAACTGCGACGGGGTCGTTCAATCCGTCTCTCCTGCTGTGGGAAACAGAACTAGAGACGCCGACAAATGTAAATGCAAATGCAAATGAGTTGATAGATGACAGTCACTTAAAGTGAGCAATTATATACATGTTCGATTCATATTACGGATGCGTAACGTGATCAATAAAATGCCCAGTGATGATAGCAGCAACACTGCAACACAGCAACATCAAAAAGGGTCTAATTAGAATGCCAACCCCTCTGATGCTGAGGGTGGTTTTGGCTTGTTGTCTGCTTGTTAGATTCAACACACCCTCCCCCCTGCTGCCACCCTACACACCCCCGCAGGTGTGCAGCATGGGAATTTGCTTGCGTGTGTGATGTTATTCCAAAATATATTCCTATATATTCCCGTATTTTCCAAAAATGTTGCAGATCATTAGCCTATGGCAAGGGAGCGAGCACCGTGTTGATTATGATGCTCTACTAAACCAGATGACGATGACACTTCAATTTGTTTTTTTTTTTTGTTTCAACTAACCATCGGTCAGTTGGAGTGATCGGATGTGATGTGACTGAAGCAACTAGCGTGTTCTTTATCGTGGGAACTCATGAATAATTTGTAGACTATTTGATTGAATTGATGCTGCACGCAGCTGTCAGCTGCTCTTGCTACCAAAAGTTTCCCACATCAGTCAATAACTATAAAAGTTTCACTCCTTATTAACCAGTCCTATTTTCCCAAAAGCCTATCAATAAATGTTAAGTAAATTTTAATCAAAAACTTCCTGTTGTAATTTAAAAATCTTTTTAAAACACGTTAAGAAATGACAAATACTTTTTTGCAAATTATTTATTAACTCAGGTGGTGCAAAAATTTGCATGATTTTGGAAACTTAAATATTGCCCTTATTTTATTTAGTGGAAACCTTTTCAGTCTTTAATACACATATAATAATATATAATATATATGTAAAAATATGTGTTGGACCTTATGTAAAGATATTAATAAAACTTAGATTTCAAGATTTATTTATAGATTTTAGAGTAGACTTTATAAACACAGGCTATAAGATATTTAAGGCTTTTTTTTTTGTATATATTTAAGACTTCACTTTATTATGATTTTCATTTCAGCCAGACTCTAAATTATTTATTAATTACAGAACATTTTTGATATATTTTATGTTTTAATTCATATAAATTAAGACTTTATTTAGGCAGGTTTTTTGGGTTCATTAAAATTTCCTAAAAAAAAAGAAAAAACGTGAAGGGAAAACTCCGTGTGCGACTTTCATTCAAGTTAAGTACAGCCCCATTACTTAATGAAAGATCGTAACGCCGGGTGAGCGCCTAATACCACTAATCCCCGTGGATTAGCGCAAATCCACCACAAGACTTTAAGCAGGCAGCAGGTAAATTCACAGGTAAACCAACACGTACACACCCCATTCAAGGTCAGAGTGGAAAAAAGTGAATAGAACTGATTCTGGGAAAATCGCGCAAAGCATCTGACTTTTTAGCAAAAATTTCTATGGTTCAATTGCAGGTTTGCGGGCAGCGGAGGAAAAGCGAAAGGATTGAGCGGGTGTCACAACTGCCTTAAGTCTTAGGTAGAGAAGAGGGGCACACAACGGGCACCGTAGTCTGTCTAAGGCTAATTATCATATTGATATTGAGAAATTGTAGTTAGCACCTTTTTGTCTTCGAAGAATGCCAGAGAATAGAAAAGCAGGTAACGAATTTCAATTTTTATGATGCTCATTGGCACTTTCGCTGCATTTTTATGAATCGCCAGCGAAAGGGTTAAAGCTCATAAAACAAAGCAACAAATCGGTGCTACTATATGGGTATATAATATATTCATATATATGACATTGTTGTCAGGCGTCTGACGACGCCACATTCCTAATGACACTTCGGCCGAACAGAAAAGGGTTAGCAACATTTTGGGAAATTTCCTTCATTTAAATATGTATACATTTTTTTTGTATTTTATGGCCAAAAAGTTGGCAACGTTCATTGAGCAGCGTTGAAAGGATCACCGGCTGTTCCCTCACCCATCATCCCTACCCATCACCTTCCACCCTCACCAATATCTCTCACCCTTAACCATCATTATGAATCGCGCCAGACTTTTGATGGGAAAGTCCCGAAATGTCATTAGGTGAACGTTTTGTGTTCGGTTTATGGCTCAACTAAAATCATTGTGCACCTATTTGCTTGTAGTATATTTAAGTAGATCACTGTTTTCGATATGAATGCTATTTTGTTATTTTTAGACACTTTTCAAAGTCTCAACCGAATATCTGCAAAACACTTTTCATCAAAGATAAGCGACAGAATTTCCAATCCTTTTTGCTCGGTTTTGTTAGGGTTGTCAAACACGTGTAAAAGTTTATGATTTATATATTTATATAATTGCTATTAAGGCGATTTCCAAAGTCTTAGAAGGATATCTTTGAAACAGATTGCGTGAACTAATTTGACTTTTCACTTTCCATTAAAGATTTGAAATATAATTTGCAATAGTTTTTTGCTCAATTTTATTAAGTATGCGAAAGTGAGGCGCTTTCCAGAGTCCTAAATAAATATATGTGAGACATATAGCGTAGAGTTGATATACATTTCCCAATGCTTTTTGCTTCATTTTAAAATATTAAGTATTTCTATAACCATGTTAATTGCTCTTCATCCTCTCATCAGTTTGGAACATTTTATTAAAGACAATAGTGAGACTATCAGCCACTACACATGAATTTCTTTAAAAATAATGCTGTAATACTTTTGGTAAAACATGAAAAGGGATTTTTATAAAAAAATACTAAAGTAATGCAACAGTAAAATTAAATATAGAAAAAGTTATATTAATTTTATTTGACTAAATTATAAATTATTGCATAAGTTGCCAAGACAATAGACAACAATAAGAAATCAGATACTTCTCCCAGCACTTCAAAAAATTGCCAATTACTTATTCTTATTCCTTTATTCCTTGTACTAAAGCTGGCTGCCAGCATTTTCAATTCTTTTCTGGCGTTTTGGCGCGCAAAGATTGCTTTATTGAATAAATACAAATCGTCATTATGTTTATATATCTTTGGTGCTCATGGTATGTAAATTAAGTTTTTGTGAATTATGCATCCAATGTGCGGAAATGAAAAACCGTTTCGAGCAACTTCCGCTAAATTAATGCAACTACAACAACAAATACAGCAAAGTTCATAAAAGCAAAAACCATGTCAATCCAAAGAGGACAAACAGACAAGTCCGCGCCAAAAAAAAGGGAAGACAAAAGCCAAAGCGACATCAACAGGAAGCGACTCAGAAATCACGTCAAAATGGCCAAGGAGCCGAGCTGCTGAGCTCCTTTTTGGCTGGATGGAACCCAGGAAGTAAACTATTAGAGGTCTAAAAAGGTACACATAGCTACAGAAAAAGCGCAATAAATTGAATCAGGGCAGCGAGGAAATAGGGCGAAGATAAATGTAAGATAAGCAATCTGATCTTGTGAAATCAGCTGAACAATAAATGAAAACATGAAATTAAAGTGCTCAAATGTCGAACCCAAAATTGCGTAAAGTAGGAGCAGAAAGTTGAGCAACTTTTGTCGGGTTTGACAAACAGCGACAGCCAGGGACTCTGTTCCCAGAGCTGCACGTGCAAAAAAGAAGAAAATATATCGAGCAGAGGCATCCGCTGAGTTGAGTTTCATATGGCTGCAGTGAGAGAGGAAGCGTGAGGAAACAATGGGAC